GTGTCTTTTTTTTTGACATATTTATTTTTATAATTTTTAATAATTATTTCTTAAACTCTATGATTTAACTTTTTTTCAAGCTACAGACTACAAAATAATTTTCGACATAATTCATCCAACATATAACGGTTTATAAAAAAAAGAGTGAGAAAGCATTACTATAGATGTATAACTGTGATATCGAATCGTATCGGAATCCTGAAATCGGTATCGGAATCCTGAAATCGGTATCGGAATCTTGAAATCGGTATCGGAATCCTGAAATCGGTATCGGAATCCTGAAATCGGTATCGGAATCCTGAAATCGGTATCGGAATCCTGAAATCGGTATCGGAATCCTGAAATCGGTATTGGAATCCTGAAACCGCTATCGTCTCGTTTCGAATCGTATCGGGATTCTGAAATCTGTATCGGAATCCTGAAATTTGTATCGGAATCCTAAAATCGGTATCGAAATCTCGAAACCGCTATCGTCTCGTTTCGTATCGTATCCGTTCGGGTTATAGTGTTATTCATCATTCAGCCACACATCTTACTCGGGACATTGCTGTGGAACCTGCAGCGTACAAACAGACATACGTATAATAAACGTGATGAGATTAAGGTATCATTATTTACACGGTTGGAAAATACACACACGTACACACACACACAGACAAACACACGTACACACACACACACACACACACACACACACACACACACACACACACGTTTACCTACAGAAACACGGAGTTAGCAAAACCTACAATGAAATGACATTTATTAATGTTGAGGGTAGCGTTTGTTAAATGGAAGTTTTTCATTTTTTTCATAAAAATTCTTCTTTTTCTATTAATTATTTTAAAATAAATAATAATAATAATAATTATTATTATTTTATTATTTTTTTATTGCTTTTATTAATTACGAATGGTTTTCTACCAAAAATCCGTTTTTGAGGTTTCTTTTGTTTAACTTAAGATTAATTGAACGGTTTTAAATGTCTTTGCTGATACAAATCCGTCTGTCAATCATTTAATTCATTCCTATTATTCATTCTTTCATTCATTCGTTTATTCATTCAATCAATCATCTACCCTTTCATTCGTCTTCTTTTCCATCTCTCTATCTTTTAATTCATTCATATGATAACCCTATTGATTATGTTCATTTAAATTCACTTCATCTATTTATACATTCATCAGTCCGTTGTTCTATATGTTCGATTTATTTATAATAATAATAATAATAACAACAACAATAAAAAAATAATAATAAAAATCATCATCGTCGTCATTCTCATCATCATCATCATCACCAAGGAATGACTATCAAATGACCAATCTTTCCGCCAGTTAGT